GGATTCATTTGGTTTCACCATGTACCCGAGGCAAAGGCACTTTTCAGACGGGCGATGCCGAATTCTCAAGTCCGTTCGGCTTTGCCCGCAAGGTCGTTGCACTGCTCTTTCGCTCGCAGGCTTCGTGGTCTCGAGTGCAACGCCGTGGCCTAAGAAGTCCATTTTCGCTGGCGCCTCCTTAGGAAACGTATCCAGGTATGGGGAATTGAGGATCCTCCTCATCCTTCTCCTCCTTCTCCTCCTCGTCCTCCTCCTCCTCCGAGCCACCGCGCCGCAGGTCGCGCCCCCCCTGCCCCGCGGCCGTGCGCCCCGCGCGGGCGCCATTGGCGGCGGTGACCGAGGCCTGCGTTTTCCTCGGCGCGATTCGCAGGGTCGCAGCCAAGGAAAGCCGATACCGTACGAGCACATGCAGAAGGAATGGCGCGACTTGCACGGTGAGGTGCCCTGGGGTCAGCATTCGCCATCGAGCTGGAGGAGAAGGTCAGTGGACCGCAACCAGGGCCTAGACGCGGGCATCCTGGACATGGTGGACGCCGCCACGAGCGCCGCGGCTTCGGCGGCAGTGAAAGCAGCAGTGGAGGCGGCCTCAGACAAGGCGGTGGTGGCTCGACCGCGGCCGTCGCAGGCGCCAAGCGAGTGCCCCTCGCAGGCGTCCAGCTTGGCTATCAAAGACATCTAGAGGGACGAGGTGCCACTGCAGCCGCCGCCAGGGCAGTTCACCAGCCCAGCGAGGCTTCGAGGAGCAGGAGCCGTTCCGTGGAGGGTGGCGAAAACAAGAAGGTCCACCAGCATCGGGCGAGGGCAACAAGGAGCAGCGGAGCACCAGCAGGATGGGTGGGGTCGAAGCCGATTTTCCCCGAGCGGCTGCAGGTCGGAGTGGAGGTGCAGGAGTACACGAAGGAGAAGAAGGATAACAAAAAGACGAAGACATGCAAGTCTTCGAGAAGGCGCCGGAGGAGCCGAACCAGGTCGGAGGAACCAGGTCAACTGAAGCTGCCTGCGGGCGGCGTGCGGGCGGAGGCACTGCCCGAGGTGCCGTCCTTCCCCAAGCTGAGCTACCTGGGCGGCCACGCCTGGTTTGGCACGACTTGGTGAGCGAGGGCGGCGGCGGTCAGGATGAGACGCAGGTCGAGAAACAGTCCGAGGAGGAACTGATCTACAAGGATGAGTTCGCGGGTGAGCACTCGTGGAACCAGGTGCTGAATGCCAACAGGGCGGTGGCCTTCAAGTGGGAGCAGGTGCAGGACAGTCGCAGGCTCGACAGCGACGTGGTCATCGGCTCCATCAAGAACAAGGGCGTGAAAGAGGAGAAGGGTGAGCAGCAGTTGCAGGAGCAGGAGTTGCGCACAGTTCCCGGTGGTAGTGCTGGAGATCTAGACAACTCTAGACGAACGGCTTCCGCGTCTGGAGCTCCTTAAAGATTCGGAGAGTTCCTGACGCAGCTGGGGCACGAGGAGGTGAGCAAGCTCATCCTCGAGGCGGGCGCAGGCGTCACCGTGGAGGAGTTCATCCACTGGGCGTCGACGTCTTTCACAGTAGGGAGTTTGGCCAGCACGGGCTGAACAACAACGTGGCGAGGCCTGAAGTCTCGGCTTCAGTGAGTCGCAAGGCCTGATGGCCTCGGGGCGAGTTGCAGCTTCGAGAGTTCTCGTCGGGCCTCCCCCTCGGTTTGGTTTCGGGCCTTGGATCCGCCTGCCGCCCCGTCGGCACTCAAGGGGCTGCAACTCTCCTTGGGGTCGGGTCGGCGCGTGCGCCGTGCGTCGGCGAGGCCAGCAGAAACACCCGCGGTCGCATAGTCGCTACCCTCGCTCGCCTCCTCCTCCTCCTCCATCAGTTCCTCGTCCTCGCTCCATCTTCCTCTTTCCACTCCTCTTCTCCTCCTCCTACTGCTACCGCCTCCTCCCTCCTCACCATCCTCCCCCCCTCCCTATTCCGTCCCGCACCTCCCCTATCCCTCTTTTGCCTCCTTCCTTCATCCTCCTCCTCCTCCTCACACTCCCTCCTCCTCCATCTGACCTCCTCCTCCCTTCTCCTTGCGTTGCCTCCCTCCTCCATCTCTTGCCTCCTCCTCCTCCTCCTTCGCCTCCTCCTCCTCTTCTTTCTCCTCCTCGTTCTCTTCCTCCTCCTCTTCCTCCTCCTTCTCCCCCTCCTTCTCCTTTTCTCAGGGCCCCGTCCCTCTGGGCCCCATTCTGTGAACCACCGGACTCAGGGCAGCAGCGGCACGCGAGATTGCTTAAGACTTAGGTTGCCGTTCGGGGGCTTGCAGCGGGAGGGTTATCCCAAGGTGGGGCTCGGGAGCGGGCCCAGCTGGATGCTCCCGTTTAACGCGCTTCCTTTTTTTTCCAGGGGCCGTTCGGAGCGATTTTCTTTCCAATCCGACCTTTGCCCCCGCCCCACCTTTGTGCACCGTGTCAGGGTCAGCAGCGTTAGGGTGGATGTTCCAGAGAGGGCGCCTCGACCCCCAAATCATCGAGGGTAAAAGAATCCATGGTCCCAATAGCACAGTGAAGACGTGGCCTCGTTGAGGTTCCCGTCTGTGCATTAGGAGTACTAGATCTGGGCGGCTTGATTCGATGCACCTGCAGACAAGAGCCCCTATCCCTGACGTGTTTGGCCCTCCCAGCTCAGGTTCCTCCTAAAGGGTTTGAGGTCGTCCGCCCCGCCCAGCGGCTGTGCAGTCGAGGGCGTACCGCGGATCTTTCGGCGACGCATCGCCGATCTATCGGCGATGTATCGCTGATTGCAGGTCGACGCTTCTCCTCCTGAGCCTGTCCCCCCTGTCAACCCCTCTCACCAGGAAACAGGGCGGATGAGGTGACACTGACAGTCCTGGGTCTCCCGCGGGCTGCAGGGGCGCGAAGGTCATGGATGCGGCCCGGGCCGGAGATGTGCCGTTCTCCAGGTCTGCGGCGCGAGGGCGCGAAGATAAGTGCGCATCGCGCGAGGTTTGCTGACCCAAGTTCCTTGTTCGATGTGTCTCCCAAGGGGTCTAGGCGACTTCGGAGGCTGGCCTCCCCCTTCCACCTCCAGATCCCGTCCATCGCCCCCAGTAGGGCTGAGGCCGATATCCAGCCGGTGCTACCGCCACCCACCACTTTCCCCTGCGTTCGGCGGATTCGCGGCAAGACGCATGGCCCTCTGAGCCACACGCAGTTGACAGACTCATGGTGGATCGTTTTCGCTTCGGAATGGGACATGTGATCAGACGCGACCAGGCGGCCGCCAAAATGGGGCGAGGAAGGAGAGGAGGAATATCAACAGCAGCAGCAACGATAAAAAACAGGAGTAGCAGCAACAAGAAGTGACCGAGGATGAGGAGGAGGAGGAGGAGGAGGAGGAGGAGGAAGAGGAGGAGAAACAAGGTGCATTGTTTGGTGAGTCAGCAGGCTGTGGACCCGCCGGCTGCGTTACCCGCGCGCCATGCTTTGGATGGACTAGCCGAGTGGGGCTCCCAATGTTCCATCTCGTTGCATTCTCTTTCTCTCTCTCTCTCTCTGTATATATTTGTTTGCGTTGCTGGATTTGTCCTCGGGTTCCCTTGGCTTCTCGGCCATCGGGAAAAATAGGGGGAGGACAGGGGAGGAGGAGGAGGAGGAGGAGGAGGAGGAGGAGGAGGAGGAAAAGAGAAATGAGGACGACGATGATGATCAGGACGAGGAGAAGGACGAAAAGATCACGGAGGACGACGAAGATGATGGGGAGAGAAATGAGAAAGACGACGGTGATCAGGAGGAGGAAAAAGACGAGAAGAGCAAGGACGACGACGAAGGGGAGGAGGAGGAGGAGGAGGACAGTCTCTTCGTTCACTCATACACGCCTGGCTGGCGCATAATTACTTCGTGCCCTTGCTGGCCTGATTTCTTAATATTTGCCTCGTGCGTCTTTCCTGCTTTCTGCTACGGCCGCCAGGCGCAATTTGTGAGCCTGGCGGCCTGAGCCGGCATTCACTGTTTCACACGAGCGCTACAGCCAATGCGTTCAAATTCGCCCCGTGCCAAACAAAACAGATAACGAAAAGCATGATTTGGGGCCCACTGGCATCGGGCAGCGTTGGTCAGCGCTGGCCGCCCGTGCCCTGCCTAGCCGAGTGCCGCCAGAGAGGGGCAGGGCGAGAGCTCTCTCGCGCATAATACAACCCCTAATCTTCTCTTGGCCTGACGTCCCCGGTTTTGAGGGGTATCCCAAAACATGTGGGTGATTTCGCCTGGGGTATCTGCAAACAAGATCCTCTATCCCTGGTATTCTTGGCCCTCCTAACTTAGGTCCCCTCCCAGAAGATTCGGGGTGCTTCTTTTGCCTACCACAGGGCCCGCATCGCGGCGCTTGCACTCGACTTGCAAGCACGTCACTTCTCGCATGATTCCCTGGTGCTCCGCCAGCACGCGGGGACACCCGACGAAGTGGAGGCCCGCCCTATCGCGATGAACCAAAGAAATGCATAAGCATATTATAGTTTGGAGGTCCGCGCGGATTTCTTGGATCGGCGCCGGACCGCCCGAGCGGACCTCTGAGAACGTATGGTTCTCCAGGCGTTTTGTTCCTCCATTGCGACAAAGCAAATGGAGTCTGGTTTCGTCCAGAGCATTTGTGCTCGCCTTGCAGCCTCTCGGAGGACGGCGGTGATGCGCCCACGTCCGACGACGGCAATTCCACGTCATCCGCTGACGACGGCAACTCCAGCTCCTCCGAGGTTGGCGGCAACGCCACGTCCACCGTGGACGACAGCGACGCCACACCTGGGACCCACACAAGCCTTCCGCTCTGTTTTCGACTACGCGTAGGAGTGGCCCTTCGCCGGAGTGACCTCTGGTGCGGGCTGTTTGGTCCCCCCCGATCGCTGGATTCCACACGAAGACAGCGACCTGCGTGCCTGGGGGTTTGGCCCCCTCGCGCCACCCAAAAGCCGCGCACCACAGGTCACCCTTGCCTCGGGCCACTCCTTACGTGCAGCCGATTTTCTGCCCGCTCCGTTGCCGCGCCTCCCCCGCCCATCTGTTGCCACGCCCTGCGCACCCACGCCACCCCGCAGCCACACCCTGGTCCGCCCAGCTCTGCTCCACTCCGCTCTGCTCCGCCGCTTCCCTTTCCATGTGTCGGTCCCTTCCCCCCCCTCCCCCCATCACTGGTGGGCTGATTTTGCACCACCACTGCCATTACCATAAGTAGGAGACGGAGGAGGAGGAGGCGGAGGAGGAGGAGGAGGAGGAGGAGGAGAAAGAGAAGGAGGAAGAGGAGGAGGAGGAGGAGGAGGAGGAAGAGGAGGAGTAGGACCTCCCCATCCTCCCTTCTCCCCCGTTCTACCTCTGGTACTGGTGGTGGAAAATTGGCCCGTCAATCACCCCAGGGACGTCTGAGCACTGGGGTTCAGCACATTCTGGTGCACTGCGCATTTCCCCCCTGGACGTCGGAGCATTGGCCTGTCTTGCGCCGGGCTGGAGCTCTGCATGCCAGGCTGCGCCCTCGACCAAACGGATGAGCGTGCGGGCCCAATGTGGCCCCCCCGATCGCTGAACGCGAAGCGGCAGCAGGGGATTGCGCGCCCAGGTTTGGCCACCCCGCGTCCCCCGTTCAGCCGCGCACGAAGTGTCACTCCTGCCTAACGTCACTCTTGCGTGCAGCCGACGCCCGTCCGCCACCCTCTCCCAGTAGGCCAGGCTGCGCCCGTTCGCCACCCTCCACCCCTCGAGCTTGGGACCGAGGAGCAGGGATCGGCCACGCGCGGAGGGTGGTAGGGGCAGGTGGGAAGGCTTCTTAGAAGCACCCTGCTTCGTAGAAGGCGCGGGACGTGTCTATGGATTTGGGGCCGGCGCCTTCGAAGAAGCAGCCTCCTTTCAAGAAGCCCTCCCTCCTCCCCCATAACCCCCTTGTGCGCGCCGCCAACTATGGCTTGGGCATGTCGCTGCCGCCTGAGTCTCCACGGGAGCCAAGCTCATGACCCTGAAGCGATCATTCCCCTCGGCGCTAGCCAGATCTTCGGCCCAGAGCGGAGCTGTGGCCTCGGCGCCAGCCGCGCTATGCTTTGCCCAAGTGGTTCTCGAGTGACGCAGAAAAACGAGGTCGTGTTCGCCGGCATTGGCGCGTAAGCTGCCCGCGGAAGCTCGCGCGTAAGCGCCCTCGTCTCCACTAAAGCGTGCCGCGCCGGCGGCCCGCGTAAGCCGCCGCGCAAGGTCGCTGTGCCATCTCGTGTAAGACCCGTTTTCGATCGTTGTTTACTTGTCTGCGCAAGGAGCTGGTGGTTGCGGGGCCCTCCCCGGCCGGCGCTGCTCTGGGTTGCCGAGGGTTGCTTGGGGCTGCCCGGGGTTGTCTGGGCGGCCACCGGCGCTGATCGGGGTTGCCTTGGGCCACGCAATGCCTATCAGTGCCAAGGAACGCGAATCAGGGCCAGTTTATGACAAACGCATATTCCAGGCTATGCCAAGCAATGCAAAGCTAACGCCTGTCAGCGCAATGCCATGCAATGCCAGTGCCAAGCAGTTCCAGGCGAAGCAAAAATCAACGCCAAGCAACGCCAATCAGCAAAGCAACGCAAAGCAATGCGAAGCAAGCCAAACAACGATTCCAAGCAAGTTCAAGCAACACCAAGCAATGCGACGCCAAGCAATGCCAAGCAATGCATTGTATAGCTGCCTTGTAGAGAACTGCCTTGCATTGTTTCGAAGAGTGAAGACCCCTAATGGGGGCCGCGCTGGATTCATGTTCGACATTTGGGCGCCATTGTGAGATTGGCACGTTGTCTCGTTCTGCACTTTTCTACGTCTTGCATAGCTCGCATGGGCTTGCTCCTCAACCGGGAGACCAAGGCCTCGGCTTGAGCGCGGTCGTCATTTGTGCGATCGCAATTTGGATTTGCGGGCCCCGCAACTCGAGTGCTGGCCGTCGCTGCAGAGCCGCGGAGGATAATATGTATGCGTGCGTGTGGTTAAATGTGCCCGTGTGTCCGCCGGTGTGACTCGCAGCGCGGGAGACGTGGCGAGGAGCCAGGGGACCGTCAGAGTGAGCTCGACGAGGGCAGGCACATGCAGGCACAGTCCTGTTGCGGGGGGAGGACGTGGGGGCACGGGGGAGGGGCCGGGTTGCAGACGGGGGTGGCAGACGGGCGGAGTGGGAACGCATCCTTCGCCAGCGCGAGCGGATCGGACATGTGGGATGCGGGTCTGCGCCTGCGGCGGCGATGGCCCGGTTTTGTCTGGCTGGCCAAGGGGACGCTCGACCAGAGAAGGAGGAGGAAGAGGAGGAGAACAAGGAATGGCAGGGAGGAGGAGGAGCCCCTTCCGCCGGGTTTGTTGGGTAACGCTGTGTGACGGCAGGGTTTCGTTGGCTTCCCCGTGCTCGAAGGGCACGATGTACGAGCCCTGATTGAAGAGCAGCATGGGTTCCGGTCCCCTTCTTGTGAACTCTGGCCAGGACATGAGCATATGAACGGACGCCCGTGCGCATTAGTGCGAAAGGGCGCCGCAGATGTTCTACCCGGCCGCAGTTCTAGCGCTGCGCCTCGCTCAAAAGTGCGTGACTTTTGCAATCAACCTCGTTTGGGGTATCCTCTCATTTCCACCGCGTCTCGGCTCCCCTGGTGCTGATTCAAAAGATATTCTTGACCGAGCTCTGCTGGTATCCTACCTCGCTGTGCCTTTCGGATCGCCAGTGTCAGCGTTGCTTTGTTACCACCTTCTCTCTCCCTCCCTATCGCTCTCTCTCTCTCTCTCTTTTGTTCTCTCTCTCTCTTTCTATATATATAGATATGGATTGCGAAGGCCTTACGGCCAGTGCCGCCGACCCTGAATGGCGACGACGACGACGACGACGACGACGAGCGCTCTCGGGGGCCTCTTCGGAGTAGTTTCGGGGCCTCTTGGGAAGCTCTGGGGGGCCGCTTGGAAGCCTCGTGGGGGCCTGTTGGGGTCTCTGGGGTTCTCTTGGAGGCTTCTTGCGGGGCTTCTTAGGGACCTCTGGGGGCCTCCTGAGAGCTTCTCAGGCCGAGGGCTCGAAAAGTCCGTTCGGGTCCCCCGTCTGGGCTCCTCCTTGGAGCCGTCTTGGGGGCCTCGTCGGCTGTCTTGGAGGCATCTTGATCGGTCTTGGGGCCCTCTTGGGTCGTTTTGGGGCTCTCTTGGAGGCCTCGTGGGCGATATTGGGGCGGTTTGGGGGGCTTCTTGGCCTGTCCTGGAGCGCCGGGAAGCTGACAAGGCGAGAACGCCGAAATCTTTCAAAAACTCAAGGGGAATCTATGATTTTTGCTCTTTGGGGCCCTGTTGGGAGTGCCCTTGGAGTGGGAACTTCCGAAGCTGTCTGGAGGCTATCGCGACTTGGACCGATACTTCTGCCAGCGTTGCTGTGCTACCGCCTTCTCTCTCCCTCTCTCTCTCTCTCTCTCTCTCTCTCTCTCTCTCTCTCTCTCTCTCTTTAGGTATACATATAGATATGTATTTCTCTCTTCCTTCCCTCTCTCATTCTCTCTTTCTTTCTTTCTTTCTCTCTCTCTCTCTCTCTCTTCCTCTTCCTGTATTTTTCTCTCTTTCTCTCGTTGAATTATGCTTATCTGTTCTGTTTGTTCCTAACCATCCTGTGGTGTTGGGTCCGCGTTTTGAAGAGACAGCGCCCCGCGTCACTCCTCTCCTCCTTCTCCCGCGGCCCCCTCCTTCTCCTCCTCCTCCTCCTCCTCCTCCTCCTCCCATCATCATCATCACCACCATCATCAGCAGCATCAGCATCAGCATCAGCATCATCATCAGCAGCATCATCAACATCATCAGCATCAGCATTAGCATCATCCTCATCATCATCAGCATCATCATCGTCAGCAGCATCCTCCTCCTCCTCATCATCATTCTCATCATCATCATCATCATCATCATCATCAGCATCATCATCATCGTCATCATCATCGTCGTCGTCGTCATCACTCGTTTCGGTACACCCCTCACACGTTTCGTGGCCCCATACGGAGCTCCACCGAAGGCCCTCGTGGCAGGGTTCGCATACGGTTCCCCGCCCATTCTGGCACACCCCTCACACGTTTCGTGGCCCCATAGGGAGCTCCACCGAAGGCCCCATTGGCAGGGTTCGCATGCGGTTCCCCGCCCAATTCGTTACACCCCTCACACGCTTCGTGGCCCCATAGGGAGCTCCACCGAATTCCACTGTGGCAGGATTCGCATGCGGTTCCCCGCCCAATATTGCACGCTTCGTGGCCCCACAGTGAGCTCCACCGAAAGCCTTCGTGGCAGGGTTCGCATGCGGTTCCCCCCGCCCATTTCGGCACACTCTCACACGTCTCGTGGCCTTATAGGTAGCTCCACCGAATGCCCTCGTGGCAGGGTTCGCATGCGGTTCCCCGCCCATTCCGGCACACTCTTCTCACGCTTCGTGGCCCCATAGGGGGCTCCACCGAATGCCCTCGTGGCAGGGTTCGAATGCGGTTCCCCGTACCCCTTTCGGCACACCCCTCGCACGCTTCGTTGCCCCATTGGGAGCTCCACCGAAGTGGCAGGGTTCGCATGCGGTTCCCCGCCCATTCCGGCCCACCCCTCACACGCTTCGTGGCCTCATAGGGAGCTCAACCGAAGGCCCCAGTGGCAGGGTTCGCATGCGGTTCCCCTTGCCCATTTCGGCACACCCTTCGCACGTTTCGTGGCCCCACAGGGAGCTCCACCGAATGCCCTCGTGGCAGGGTTCGCATGCGGTTCCCCGCCCATTTCTGCACACCCTTTACACGCTTCGTGGCCCCATACGGAGCTCCACCGAAAGCCAATGTGGCAGGGTTCGCATGCGGTTCCCCGCCCATTTCGGCACACCCCTCACACGCTTCGTGGCCTCATGGGGAACTCCACCGAAGGCCCCAGTGGCAGGGTTCGCATGCGGTTTCCCGCCCAAGTCGGTACACCCCTCACACGCTTCGTGGCCCCATAGGGAGCTCCACCGAAGGCCCCAGTGGCAGGGTTCGCATGCGGTTCCCCGCCCATTTCGGCACACTCTCACACGTCTCGTGGCCTTATAGGTAGCTCCACCGAAGGCCCCAGTGGAAGGGTTCGCATGCGGTTCCCCGCCCATTTCGGCACACCCCTCACACGCTTCGTGGCCCCATAGGGGGCTCCACCGAATGCCCTCGTGGCAGGGTTCGCATGCGGTTCCCCGCCCATTCCGGCACACCCTTCTCACGTTTCGTGGCCCCATAGGGAGCTCCACCGAAAGCTCCAGTGGCAGGGTTCGCATGCGGTTCCCCGCCCATGTCTGCACACCCCTCACACGCTTCGAGTTCCCATAGGGAGCTCCACCGAAGGCCCCAGTGGCAGGGTTCGCATGTGGTTTCCCGCCCATTTCGGCACACCCCTCACACATTTCGTGGCCCCTATAGGGAGGCCAGTCGAACGATGGACCCAGAACGCGGTATCCACAACTGCGTATGGTTTCGGCAGGTTTTGTTTGTTCTCTTTCTTTCTCTCTCTGTTTCTCTCTCTCTCTCTATCGCTTTGCAATTGGTCGTCATCCAAATGTATATATGTACGAAGATCTCTCGCTTTCTATCCCCCTTCTCTGTACAGATGTACATACAAATAGGTGCAGCATGGAACCCAAACTGTAAGTTGATGCACTGTCGATGTGGGTGCTCTGTGGTGTAGCATACGTGATGCAAGGGATGTGGGGCAGTCTGTGTGGTGCAAGCTATGTCCAGCAAGCTATGTGGGGTGCAACCTATGAGGTGCAAGCTGGGTTGTGAAAATCTCTGTTGTGCAAGCCCTGTGGATCAAGCTATGTAGATTGAGCTGTGTGGTGCAAGCTCGGTGGTGTAAACTATGTGGTGCCAGCTGTGTGGTGCAAGCTGTGTTGTGTGAGCTATGTGGTGCAAGCTCTTGCGCAATGTATTCGTTGCAATATTATGGCCTTCGGCCATACCGCCACCGTGCCTGGGTTTGGGGTGCAAAGCTTTTTAGATGTTCGTTGGGATCTCGTTAGGGGCCTCTCGGGGGCTTCTTAGAGAGGCAGTTTTGAAGCCACCTGGGGGCCGGTTTGGGGCATTTGGGGGGTCTCTTGGAGGTCACTTGGGGCCTCTTCGGGGCAAGGGGGAACAGCCAGCATCAAGATCTTGGGGATGCATGAGGCGGTGTGCCTGCTTGGTTGCTTGGAACCCTGTGCTTTCAGAGCAGACTGAGGATCTTTCGCGCGAGGCACTGACTTCAGCCTTTCCAAGGGGGAGCCGCCAGGGTGGTTGCACAGTCCCCTTCGCGCCCAGGGTAAGGGGATGCCTGAGACGGGTTGCCTGTTTGGTTGCTTGGGACTCTTCTGCTTTCAGAGCAGACTGATGATGTCTCGAGCTAGGCGCTGGTTTCAGCATTCCCAAGGGGAAGCCGCCAGGGTGGTTGCACGGTCCCCTTCGCGCCCAGATTATGGAATGTCTCGGGCTTTTTTCTTGTCTGGTTGCTTGGACTCTTCTGCATTCAGAGCAGACCGTGAGGATGTCTCGTGCGAGACGCTGTCTTCAGCCTTTCCAGAGGTGAGCCGCCAGGGCGGTTGTACGGGCCCGTTCGCGCCCAGAGTGTGGTTATGTCTCAGGCGGTTTGCTTGTTTGGTTGCTTGGACTCCTGCTGTCAGGGAAAGTTTTGAGGATGGTTCGAGCGAGGCGCTGGTTCCAGCGCTCCTAGGGGAGAGGGGGAGCCAGGGTAGTTGCACGGGCCCGTTCGCGCCCAGTTTGTGCACTTGTCTGAGGCGGTGTGCCTGCCTGGTTGCTTGGAACCCTGCGCTTTCAGTGCAGATTGTGAGGGTGTCTTGAGCAAGGCGCTGGCTTCAGCCTCCCCAAGGGGAAACGCCAGGGGTGTTTGCACGGCATTGTTCTCGCCCAGATTGTTGTGATGATTCACGCGGTTCGTTTGTCTGTTTGTTTCCTGGGTTATCTAGACTATTGGGCGTCCAAGGGGCCCAGATGTGGGGGATGTGTCACGCAGTTTGCCTGTTTGGCTGCCCAGGCTCCCCTGCCTTCGGAGCAGAGTCTGAGGGTGTCTCGAGCGGGGCGCCCGCTTCAGCACCCCAAGGTGGAGCCGCCAGCGGCCAGAGCGTGGGGATGTTTCGGGCGGTTTCTTCGCATGGTGGCTCAGACTCCTTTGCTTTCAGGGCGGACTGTGATGAGCCGCCTCTCGGGAGGGGAGCCGCCAGGGGGTCCATTCGCTGGTTCGCGGCCAGATTGTGGGGATGTCTCGAGCGAGACGCTCGTGTTGTACCTCCGACTCCTGTCCAATCAGGGCCCCATGATCACCTCGATGTACGGAGAGCGACGGCCGCCAGAGAAGAGGAAGGAAGACGCAAGAGGAAGGAGAAGGGAGGAAGGGCGAAGAGGAGGGAGGGATTCCTACGAGGAGGACAAGGAATAAGAGGGGAGGAGGCCGCCAATGGGTGGGGGGGGGGGCACGTGCCAGAGAGGAGCAGAGAGGGGGACGGAAGAGGAGAGAGGACGAGTAGGAGAAAGGAGGAGAACGCAGGAGGAGGTAGAATGACGGCCGCCAGGGAGGATGAGG